TGCAATCTTTGCCAAGACAGGCTGGACTGCAACAGCTCGTGATTATGATGTGCTGCAGGAGCAGAGATGCTGAAGGCAGAGGTGGCTGGTGCAGCAGGGGTGCTCCCTGTGCTGTAAGCCTACTAATGCTTTGTTTGCTCTAGATTTAAACTTCCCAAGTCACGGGGCTTCCATCATTGACATTGAGACCTTGCTTGACAGTGTAATGGTTTGCTCTCAATGATTTTTTTTCTCTAGTCTGTGTTTTCAGCTTTCCCTTTCTTTAATCCCATGACTCTCTTGTATTCTTCTTGTATTCTTCTTGTATTCTTCTTGTATTCTTCTGCTCCCTCTTGTATTCTTCAGCTCAGACCTCCTTTTCCTTTGAAGCTGACCCTGCATACAGATTCAATTCCCCACTATTAGGAAATGTACATAGTCGTTAATGAGTTGATACTTGTAAAGCATTTTTCCCAGTCCTTCTTTGTGCAGAGCTTCTCCCTTGCTTTTGCTTCCTGGTGAATCCCTCTCTCTGGGCTCTCCCAAGGCCCTGCCAGAGGAGCTCTGCTGAATCCTGTTCTACCAAAACCAATGCTAAATGTGCTACATGTTGTTTCTTTTGTTTTTCCACTTGCTYATAGGATAATCATGTTACTCCATGGACTTCAGTAATTTGCACTAATGACTGGGAAGGATTGTATGATCTTTATAATAATTATGGAAAGGAACTGCAAATAGGTTTGCAACTTAAAAGCACCAAGTTTAAAATTATGTTTAAAAATAATACAAATACTGGGCATTATATAAACAGTATTTTAATCCAAATCCAAATAAACATTAAAAAATCCAAAATAAACCATGGATTAACCATTTGGATTTAAAAAATCCAAATAAACCATGATATGAAGCGACTGCAAGTGCTTTGTGCTGTGTGGCTCTGCAGGGAGAATTATTCTCACTGCAAAATTCCTGGAGAGGYACCAATGTAGGTATTGTTGCAACTGCCCTGCAATAGTTACACTTGGACTGAATTTGTGCTAAAAGCTCTTAGTTTTATTTTTAAAAATGATTGGTACCTCCTTGTGTAAAATTCTTAGCAGAGATCTCCATCCATCGTCGTCACTTGGCTGCACACAGCTTTGCAGCTTGCTCTCTGTTTTACCCTCTGCAGCAGCACACAAGTTGGACAACTATTTAGTGGGGTTTCTCTCTGTAGTTTCATGCCTGACTGGTGTGCCCTAGAGCCATCATTGTGCTTCTTTGATGATGGAGGCCATACAGGGAGCAGCCCTGCGGGTAAATCCCAGCTCTCCTTGAGTTTTGCCGTTGGCTTCTGTGGGCCTAGAGTCTCACCATAAGTGTATTAACTCCGTGAGCTACTTCAAGGGACTAAGAACTGTGATAAGTTTAATTGCCTTGGGTGTTAAGCTCAATTGTGGTTTATTTTAAGTGTTCGGGGGAAGCGCTCCTTGAAACGTGATTTGAAGAGACAGAAGAAAAAAATGAGTGTGCCCTTGGGAATGGCTGAGTGCAGCCTTCTTGCAGAGCTCCCATCTAGCTGCAGAGTTAAATGTTATTATTTAACGAGCACAAGCAATTACTTAGCTAACGAACACAGCTAAGTGAGCGCAAGAAATGTGTTTCATCTGCAATGCCCACTAGAAAGACATGGTTTTGAGCTTGAGGCTGCCCTTGCTTTAAAAYCCGGGTCACTGCAGTGAGATTAATCCAGGGCATAAATCACAGGGGTTAGATTAGTGTTTGTTTTACTTGAATTCACATTTCTTTCTCTCTTATCGCCYCTAAATCTCACAGCTTCTCAGCCCAGTCATGAACTGGGGAATGGAATGGGCTTAAACAGTCTCAGCTTCCCTCCTGAGCACTGGCTGTCAGCCCTCAGGCTTGATTCACCATTGGAACGCAATTATAAAATGGCACAATGCAATTAATGTGTCTTCCCTCTCCTTTTGTGCCAGACAGGAATTCCTCCTCCACTTTCTGTTGGAGTGATATTTATAACATAACCTAACCCAATGTAACTTCATTTTGCATTAGTCAGGGGTGCACCAGATGATGCTCACATAAGCAGTTGGTTGCATATCCCAGTTAGGAATAAATCTACATGTCCACAACTATTTCTGTGCAAGTTCAGACTGCTCATTGACTTTTCTTTTGAAGTTGTATTTTTTTTTTACCTTTGCAGCTGACAATATAGGCAAAAAAAAAAAAAAACCCCAAACCAACCAACCAAAAATAAACCCAAGCCAAACAGAATGAATTTGTTAACTTTTAAGTATAACTGTGGCAGACTGAGTCTCTTCTTGCTCTGTGTCCTCTGTGGAGCTGCTGTGTTGCATGGTGTTTAAGAGGCTGGTGCTATATAGCATGTATGGAAGAAAGCAATAGGGAAGATATTTCCTGTGTATGCTCATCTGGGAAAAAGTTGTAGGTACCAACATTTAAATTAACCTTAGAGCTGACGTAACTAGTAGTGGGTTTTGTTAACAAGAACATGGTGCCCAACCACGGCTAATTTTCTTTACATTTCAGTCCTGACATATTTCACTAAGCATTCAAAATGGTTTTTTATTTTATTTATTACATACAAGACTTGGTTCAAGCAATCTGCAGGAAGCAAGAAATTGTACAGATGATTTTTGAAAATATTTTCAGCAAAATTGTTGCCATTTGTGGGGAAGTGGGTAGAGGCACATTAAGCTCTGTAAATGAAGAAGAAACAGAAGAAATATTGATTTCTCCTTCCGCATGAAATAACTTTTAAGAGTTATGGCTATTATTAAATTATATTGAAACTCTAGTTAAACATTAAAACCAATCAGTAAAAGGCATAGGCAACATGAAGAACGTTTCCCATTTTCTATGATTTCACAATGACGCAGGTAATTTTTGCCCCTCAATTTGAGCACGAGCTTTTCCCCAAGGCTCTATGGTACTTGATGTCCCACAGAAAGGAAGCCCAGGAGTTTTTTTTTCTGAGGAAAACACAGAGTGAGCAATAGCAATAGCAAAAGTTAGAGCAGAACAAGACAAAGTCGCAATATGTGAAGGCTGCCTGTGTTCATYGTTCTCCAAGGCAGTTGCCTTCGCCCCTGGTGTTGCACCTGAGGACAGATGAACTCAAGTTCTGCTTAGGCACCCGTGCTGGGGCTTTCAAGGAGGCTTTTTGCTGACCTAGTTCAGCTGCTGTTGAAAACTATGGTGATTTTCTTTCTGTTTTTAATAACACTGSTTAGGCAATGCCGAAGGCTTTTGAAAAGTCCTAGCCTCACAGTATGAACACATTTGCTGACCGAAACCTTTGGTCTGCTGCTTTTGGGAGGACAAATTTCCTGTGGGAAAATTCTTCCTCCTTTTGCTTTATGGTCTTAGCACTGCTTACATATATAGCCTCATATACATATAGCCACAGTTGTGGCTGTCCAGTAGCAGCAAATCCTTTCAGGTTCACAGTCATTTGGAGATTTCTTGCCGTATGCGAAGCTCTTAGGAGTTACCCCAGTTGTTCTTTGCCCTGTGAGATCAAAACAGCTTTATGGGCAGAGACCTTACTTAAAGTCCTTTGTAACTCACTGGATTTTGCATTAAACTAAATTTCACATATTGAGTGGACAGTCAACCCTTAGAAGCCTAAATGAAAGAATATGCTTTCTCTGTGTATTTTAACATCCTAGCTGAGAGGACTAGTGGCTCCTCAAAATGCTCCCAGATATGTCCTTCAGTATTCACCTGTCAGCCTCTCCATCCACCAGTCCTGTGTTTTGAAATGAGATGCCTGCACTTTATTAGCTTTGTGACTGAAAAATAATGGCATATGTTTTCTGCTCACTGGAAAAGGCCTGAATTGCCTTGGTTTATACTTTAAAATAAAAGTTGGGCTTGAGGCAGGCACAAATCCTTGCATGTGTCAGCCCTAAAGGTGAAGGCTGTAGGAAGTTACGAGCAACCACAAATGCAGTTTGGGACCGCAAATAAAGCTGGAACAGCTGYTGCTCCTGTTATTCTGTGGGTGACATTCAGAGTTATAATGCTAGGGATAGCAMATGGTATGTTTGGGGAGGATGTAAAAGTAGAGGGAGATTCACTGAGGTAGAGAGAAAATTTATTTGGATCATTGTGCAAAGAAGGAAGGGCCTTCTTGCTAATGGCACAGGGATAAAATTGTGGGAAAGTATCAGTATGAAGGTGGGAAAAGAAAAGGGAACAGACAAAAGGGACCAGGGAGTCCGGGATAATTTCTGAGCGAGGATTTTCCGACGGCTCCTTGCAAGTGAAAATTAATTGTTCTGGGAATGGCATTTGCAGCTCCGTGTAGCAGGGGCTTAGCAAGGCCATGAATTACCTCGCTCTGGGGTCTCAAAATGATCTGACAGGTTCATGTGAGTCAGGCGAACATTATGGTAATTTTAGCGCTCTAGGGGCTCTACAGGAGTACATAAAAACCACCTAAGCTGTCCAGCTGATCTTAAAACTTAATTATGGCTCCACTTAATAATATTCCCTCCCCCCATTTCTGCTTTAGAGGATCATTGAGTTAAAAAAAAAAAAAGAAAAAATCATTAATCTTTCTTAATGAAACTGTTTGTTAGCAGGAGGCAGCCTGTCTTGCCCCCGTGGACTCTGGGATGGAGTTTTTGTGAGCACCATGAATGGGGAAGTGGGAAGCGACTGCTGGATAAAAAAGTAGTGCAAGTTTCCCCAAACTTGACCGTACTGGCTGTGTAAAAGTATTCCCACCACAGTTACTAATTATTAGAGCATGAGCAATTGCCAGGGCTTTTACAGTCAAGATAAGAGCTCTTTTAAAGCACGTGATTGAAATCACGATTCCCTGGAGGAATCAGAAGCAGACCAATCATGGCAGGGTTTGGGCCTTTGGTTTTAACTGCACGGTCTAAGCTGCATCCTCCAAGCTGGGATGCTGCAGAGGTGGCCGTATCAAAATTGTGTGGCAGACACTACGGGACACTGAGCTCTTCTCTTTTCCTGTTTCTCCTGTGTAGAAGATGCTGGACGAGTGCCAGGACCGACGGAGCTGCCAGTTCCTCGTCAACAGCCGGCTCTTCGGCGCTGATCCGTGCCCGGGGACTGGCAAATACCTCATCGTGTGGTACAAGTGCAGGCCAAGTGAGTATCTCCCCACCGGGCCCATTCCTTTTGGTGAGACCAAAGCCATTTTCTGCTTAGTCCTTGGCCGCCTGGCCTCCCAGGACATTTTGGTCCTTCCCAGGGTTTATTTAAAGCATGGCACAAACCCTGGGTAGGAAACACTTCCCCTTGCCCTGTGGAGCTAGTGGGTCTCATGCGCTCTTGGCCGGCCCTGTAGTGGGACCGTGGCAGCATCAGGACTGCAGCAATGTCATGATGGCAGCGTTGTCACGACACCTCGTGCAAAATTGTCCACAAGAAATTAAAAAGACAAAAGGGTTGAAGAAGGAAGAGAGATGGACCTGGTTTCAGAAGAGATTTTGGAACAAAAGCCGAGGTGCTCAGACCCTGCACTGTGCTGCAGAAGACAGTTTGCCCCAACATGCAGAGGCCTGTGCTAAGGCAGCGAAGGGATCTGGTGAGGAATTCGAGTGAGAAATAGGTAATGAAGCACCTGCATTTATTGTGCGGTTTTGGTGAGTGACTGGAACATCCCTTGTTAGGCGAGAAATTGATTTCTATGAAACAGAAGCAATTAGCAGGGTGTCCTGACAAGTCTTCATCAACTTACAGGTTTTGTATCACAGCTCAGAGCAATCTGGCTGTGGGAGCCTGTGATGAACTTCTGAGGGTAGCTCTGGAGCCCATTGTGTAAAAATATTTATGGCTTGGCATTCTCTGCCGGTTGCAAATATGCAAAAAAAAAAGAAGGAACTTGTGTGTGTGCTGCATGATTTTCCTGAAAGAGAGTGGGGAAAGTTGCTTAAAAACCTTTCCCCAAGACGTTTTTCAAGCAGCTGTAGTTCTGCAGGGTGAAACAGGGTAACCTGCTGCAACTTTTTGTTTCTTACTCACTGGACAAAATTTTAATCATTGGATTAATAGCATGGTTAGAAATCTGTGAGCGTTAGCCTTGYGCAGAGATAGCAGGACACTTTCAAAATTCTCTTTATGTTTCCAGACTTTGAGTTTCAGAAAAAACATAAAGCTTCTATGTGTTGATCTGTAACTGTGCCCATTCACCCTGCTATAGGGAGCATAATGAGAGCTCTGAAAAGATTGATCCACAGAATACAAAATAGAGAACAATGATAATTTTTGGCGGATCCTTCTGCACAGTGTGTTGTTTGTGAGCCCTAAATGAATCTAGGTCCTATGAAGTGTTGATCACCCCCAGTATGTCCGGGGCACATCCTCACATCCACTTAACCAAACAGTACTGGAGGCCCTGCTGAAACTTGCTGCCATGCTTTGATTGATAACRTTATCAAAGATGCATGCAGCTTTTGGGTACTGCTTCTGAGCMTGGATTTGTCCTCCTTAATGACAGACAGAGGTGCTTTAATAAGAAGTCATTTAAGGTCTGAATTGTCCTCCATGCTACTGAAGCAAGTGCCTGTGTGCCGAAGGAGGTAGAAAGGACCCAGGTTTGTCTGCCTGCAGGTATGAGATACCCTTTGGGAAGTGGTCTGCCAAGCTTGGACAGGGCATCCATAATTTTAGTTAGGGATCACAGAATCACAGAATATTTAAGGTTGGAAGGGACCTCTAGAGATCATCTAGTCCAACCTTCCTGCTCAGCAGGCACACCTAGAGCATGTAGCACAGGGTGGCATCCAGGTGGGTTTTGAAGACCTCCAGAGTAGGAGACTCCACAACCTCCCTGGGCAGCCTGTTCCACTGCTCTGTCACCCAAGCTCTCCCACTTTAAGAGTCCTCCTGGAACCTTGGAAATCTACTGAATAATGCAATTCACTAAAAAGAAAGCTTTTCCTTGAAATAAAATTGAAGCTAGTGGCATCTATTTGTATTTTTACTGATGAATAAGTAAATAGTGCAGTCTTTCCCTCCGGCCACTGTCACTGCAGTTACGTGTCTCTGACACTATGTTGTGTTTGAAATCTAGTGGTTTCAATGCTCACTGGCTGTAAGGGGGGTCACTTGCAAGGCAAAGTGCTTTTTTTTTTTTTTTTTTAGGTTGTTTCTCACTGGCAGAATTTCAAGGAGATGGAGGAAAGCAAACCAGGCTGAACTGGAAAGCCCTGGATACCCCAAACAGTGGGAGATACCAACAGCCTCAGCTGCACAAACTGCTGAGGGCCCTGTGATTTTTTTGTGCCAGAAGCTGAGACTTGAGCAGTGTTTTGAAGTGTTGTGGTTTGCCTCCTCTAGAAATTCAAAGGAATATTTTAGAGAAGTGCCTGCTTGACTAGAAGTGGTGAGAAATTCAACAGCTTGAGTGTCTTTGGGAAGTGTTGTGGGAAACATGATTCCTTTTGGTCCGAAGGCTGCATCTGGGGTCTTGCAGACACTTGTCTGCACACGGGGGATTCTGGTATGTGCGTGGGGCTGATTTTAAATGGCAGATGTTTGGCAGATCTGTGCGCATTCTCTGTGCTTGTAAATACACAAATACACCATGTATATGTGGGTGTACTTTTAATGTTAAGGTGCAGGACGTTCAATCAACAAAAATACTTTTTTTTTTTTTTTTTTTTTGTAAATATCTTTGCTTGGGGTGAGACTTCTGGGGTGCTGTGTGGCTTGGAAGGACAAGGTTTTTCAAAATGTATCGGCTTGTCTTCTACTTTTCCTCCTTATTTCTTGTAGGCCTTCTTTGCTATATGCACCAACCCTTGGGGAGGTGCTCAAGTGTCTCAGCACAACTACAACTTGTTCTTCTAAAACTCAGAGGCGCCTCTGCAAATCATCCTGCTATTGAGATCCTCAATAGAGAGAACCTCCAAGGGATCAGGCAGGTCAGGGCTGGGACATGTTAGTGGAGCAGTGAAACCCAAAGCTCTTCTTTGAGGCTAAATCTGTACTGAAAGCACCAGGGAACCTCTGTGGGAAGTGGAGCTCCATCATCCCTATGATAAAATGGGTAGCACAGTCCCTGGCTCTGCTGTGGACCAGGCCAAATTACACTGCCCCAAACATCTTCTGAACGTGCTTTGGTGCTTATCACTGGACAGTGATGGGCTCCAATAGATAATTTGGATRTGACCACTCTGTTTGGGGGGTTAAGAAGATTTATTTGTATGGATGTGGGCTGATCCATCAACTTGGGCATAATATCAAGAGAAAAGGTGCATTTAATTTACCAGGGCACATGTAGCCTGACATCAGCATCCATGGTGCACCGAAACCAATGATCCAGCCCTGAATATGCAGAGGATTTCAATGTGCAGGCTACCTTTCAAGATTATTAAAAAATTGCACATAAACCCAATTATTTCTCAGGTAACATGCTGATTCAGTTTAGACCCATTAAGTATAATTACCAGGCAGGCTGCAGGAACATATAATTAGAGGGAATTGACATACTATTTAATTGGTCTAACATGAATTCCCTCTAACTGAAATCCGGATTCACTAATACTATTCAAACAATTCAAGGTTTGTTCATCCCCCTTGCTTCAGAGTCCAAAACAATTGTGTGGGACCGTGTGCTGTTGTAAGCTAGGAAATATTTGCTCCGTGTGCCAGACTTTCTGGAGGGGCTGCRAGGTCTAATCCTAGCTGGGAGCAGGATCTTGGGATCTGCTGAAGTTGTGTTGAGGAAATTATTTCCCTTTTTGCACCCCAATGGTGCCCTCTCAGCTGATTTTACTGGGRCTGGTTGCTCTTGTGGCTGTTGTCCGAGCAGAGGTTGAGCTACCCCTGCACAKCATCCATCTACATGTTGTATCTTTTTGGTTGGYTGGTTGTTTTTTCCTTTAGATTTCCAAGGTGTTGCTGCTCCTGGACAACATGGGAACATAGAGGTTTGCYTGTGTCTGCCAAAGGCCTAAGGGTGAGTTGAATTGCCCAAGTGGCCACTCCACTGGCAGTGCTGTTGGGAAAGGGAAAGGCTTCAAGGCTGCTTAGGTGGCTTGTCCTGTGAGTCCTTTTCCCTCGCCCTCAATGTTTTATTTCATATTGTGTGAAGCAGCTGGAGGTGGTGATTGGAGGCCAGTGGATGTGAGGCTCCTGTTTATTAAACCTCCCAGCAATGGCAGATCCATACTTTACCCGGAGCCTCCTATTGACAAGCCCCAAAGCCTTTGAAGTTTGAGAAAAACAGGATTTTGACCTAGGCTCTGACTGCAGCTTGAACCCCTCTGTAACAACGATACGAAACAGTATTTGTGAAAGGCACATGAAGGCCCTGAGAGMTGCAACTGGGAAGGGAAGGAGCCTTCGCTGGTGGTGGGTGAAGTGCCACGTTTGTGTGGGGGTTGAAGCAGGAAAGCGGGTGGGGAGAGGGTCATTCTGTTTCAGTTCAGGACCTGTAGCTTTGATTTATAGGAAAACTTTTATGYTGAAAACTGGCCTGGACAAAAGTTTTGAATGGAGCAGACAGTTATTCTCTCCATAGATCTAGTTCTAATCTGAGACCCATTTAATTCTTGTTAAATGTCAGCAATTCTTTTCAAGCATGGGAATTCCTGTGCCAAAATCTTACTCAGGTAACTATATTTTTCACAACAACTCTGGGCAATTTTAGTTGGAATACATTGGGATTTTGAAATCAATTAGGGATTAATTTTAATTAATTTTTCCTCTGATAAAAATGTTGTTTTGTTCGCAAAGGAGCTGCCTATTGGTGAGATTGTGATTTTTATCAGTGATAGCTTCCAAACCTTATAAACAGGAGAATACCATTACTCGCAGCACAGTTTTATGGGCTATCAAAGAACTGCAAGAAATCAGCCTCTGTGTGGGAGATTTGTGGCCTTAAGTTTCAAGCTGCCTTACACCTCTTGAGGAGCTGGCTGCATCTGCTCTGTTGCATTCGAATGGGATTGTCTGGAATTTTTTTGGAAGGACCACCTGGGCTTGCAGTGAGTGTATCTTGTTCATCTAATTTCCCTACACCATGTTCCCATAGTGTTGAATCTTACGTGAGCTTTGCCACTGACTTCACCGGGCTGAGGGTGATACATTTTCTGCTTAATTCTGTGAACACAGGACGCTGCCTCGAAAGCCTTGGCTCA